CCTCCGACGGCGCCGCCTCCGCCGGGCTGCGCGGGGCGGCGGGTGGGGGGAAGGAAAGCCTGGGGAGGGGAGAGGGCGGGGGCTCCCTAGCCAAGCCCGGCCCGGGGCAGCCGGGCAAGGGGGCGAGACGGGAGGAGCCGATGAAGAGGTGGCCCGAAAGCCCGGGACGGGGCGCGTTATAAAGGGGGAGGTGCCCGTCCTGGCCTCCCCTCCCCCCTCTGCCCGCCCCCTCCCTCCTCCTCCCACCCTCCGCGGCCGCACCTGCCGCCGCCGCCTCCCGCCCACCCGCTTCCAGTCCAGCGTCCGCCCTCGGCGCGTCACTGCCAGCAGCCCCTCCTCTGCCTTTGGAAGTGGGGCCCTGCACTAGACACCTGCCTGCGGCGCCCTGCCGCGTGCCTCAGTTTACCCCCCCAATGCCAGCTACCACGGAATGCCCTTTCTTCCTGGGCTGAGTGTGCTCCCGGTGAGGCGAAGGCGGGAAGTGCCGAGGGAGCGGCCTGAGTCCCTGGGAAGAGAGAACTGCCCCCGCTGCCACCTTCCGTCGTCTCAGCCACCCGCCGTTGACATGGCAACTGACGGCCGCCAGGGGGCGCGGCGACACTGAAGGCGGAGAGCGAGGAACGCTCAGGCCTATAGCCTGGATATTGTGTTGTCAGGAAGGCAGGGATGAGGCCCAAGGTCCTCCTTCACGGAGCTGCGACAGAACTTGTCTGTCCTGGATTGGTCATCGCAAAAATAGTTAATATTGTTCCTGCACTCCCGTGTGCTTTAGAAATGCTGGGCGTAACCGGGTGGTGGTGGCTCAGCACTTTAATCCCAGGCAGAGGCAGGTGGATCTCTGTGAGTTCGAGGCCAGCCTGGTCTACAAGCTCTAGTTCCGGGACAGGCTCCAGAGCTACAAAGAAATCCTGTCTCAAAAAAACAAAAAGAAAGAAAAAGGAAGGAAGGAAGGCTGGTGTTCCAGTTGACTCCTGAACCAATCCTGTGACCAAGGTTCACTAACCCATTTTATAGAAAATGCAGCTCAGAAACCGGAGGTTGTCTGCTCAAGCTCGCACAGTGGGAAGGCTGGCTTTAGCTATGAAGAGGTTTCTCATTCTTCGTTTTTACAGTGTGCTTATGGCCCGCTGTCCTTATGCAGGCCGATACCCACTGTTCACCCTAGGACCCACCCAGTCACACTCTCCTCCACCATCATCTTCTTGTTCTCAGGAGACTCCAAATGGAAGCCAGCAAAGCAGTGTTTTCTACCTCCCTCCCAAAGATGGACCCTGAGTCCGGCTTCACCCAGCCTAGCTTCTCCACCTGCCCCACTCCAACGTACTCCAGATCACTCTGAAGTCTGTTATATCTCCCTCTACAGTCTGGAAATTCTGAGTGTGACACTCAGGATCCTTCCAGCTTTCACCTCCTGGGCTGTGGCCCTGGGAGCTGCTTTCTGTTCACCAGTTTCCCAAGCCCTCTTCCCTTCAGAGCTGTGGTTCCCAGTAGCACCCCACTCCCCAGGGCTGGCTGCAGGAAGCCTTTCGGTTTGCTTCCACCTCTTGTTTTGTTTGATTGACACAGGGTCATGCTATACAGTCCTGGCTGGTCTGGTGCTCACTGAATAGTCTGTGCTGACCCTTAGACTCTAGGCAACCCCCTTGCTTCAGTCTCAGACATCACTATGACCAGCATTGCTTTCCAGTTTTATCCGGCACTGGCTGGACTTGAAGCTTCTTGGAAGGAGGACTGGTTTTGGTGACCCTGGTGTCCCAGGAGTACCTGTTGTGAGCAGGGTCCTGCCAGGGAGGCCTTTCAAGGCACTCCACAGGGCCAGCCGGGGCTTCAGGAAATCAAGCCGCATGTCAGGGAAGGACAAGGAGCCTTGCTTCATGGCTCCACGGCTTACATGAAGCAAGAAGTAGGGAGGGGAAAATCCTGGTGTGTGAGAGAGAGTAATTTCAGTAATTACAATTATAGAAAGAAAATAAGTGGCTAAGCCCCACACAGCCCTGTATGGGAGTTATTTCTATTGTCAGTCATAGGCAGAGGCCCTTTCTCTTGCCTCCACTGTACACATGAGGACCCTGACACTTAGAGGTGAGATTGCTGGGCCATGGTCACACAGCCCTAAGAGGCCAAGCTGGTTTTGAAACAGGTATGTTTGGCATAAACTCAAAACAGTTACTTATGTCAAGGTCCCTCCCAACCTGAGTTCAGAGTGAAACCAGGGCAAAACTTGGGTACAATCTTACTTGCCTTGGTGATCATGGGAGGTGGTGGTAGGTAATGGTGGCACTGAGGGGAAGGGCAGTCATGGGTTTGTGTGGGTGCTGCTATCAGATTTTCAGGCTATAGGCTGGTGCCTGTTTGTCATGAGCCCTCCCTAAGTCACATCCTGTGGGTAGAGAGTCTTTAGCAAAGTTTCCTGTGATGTTGTCACTTCTGCCCCCAACAAGAGCCCTAATGTCTTTCAGTCACTTCCCCCTCAGAATCTAGGGCCCTCAGCCCTCGCAAGGGATGTAAGAATGGTCAGGGGCTCTGGAAGACTGCCCAGGTATGGAGCCTCGGCCCTTCACGACTGGGAAATACAGGTGGGCAGTGGGAGAAGCTGGCTATTTCCAATCCATCTTGACTTCTGATTTGCTGGCTTCAAAAACTGCCTGCTTTCTGTGGATTGCCAGAACCACCATGCCCCAGCATGTGACGCAGCCTCTCTGGAGACCTGCTGACCGACTGGATGATGACAATCCAAGGGATTCCCTTCTGCGGCCATTTAACAACTAAGGAAGCCAGGCCTGGTGGACTGGAATCCCAGCTACTAAAGAGATTGAAACAGGAAGGTTGAAAGTTCAGGGCTTGTCTGGACTAACGAGCAAGTTCAAGATCAGTTTAGAACTCAGTGAGACCTTGTCTAAAAAATAAAAAAAATAAAGCCACACATAGTGACACACACCTTTAATCCCAGCACTCAGGAGGCAGAGGCAGGTGAATCTCTGAGTTTGAGGCCAGCCTAATCTACACAGTGAGTTCCAGGCCAGCCAGAGCTACATAGCAATAACCAAAAAAATTAATAATAATAAGCCAGGCAGTAGTGGTGAATACTTTTAATCCCAGCATTTGGGAGGTAGGGGCATTCAGATCTTTGTGAGTTTGAGGTCAGTCTGGTCTACAGAGCGAGTTCCAAGACAGCCAGGAACTCTTTTTCCTGGAACTTTCCAGGAACTTCTTTTTCCTCAAAGAAACCCTGTCTCTAAATAAATAAATAATAAAGAGCCTATAGTAAAGTGCTTTTCCAGGCTGGCCTTGAATTCACTGAGATCTTCCTGCCTCTGCCTCCAGAATGCTGGGATTAAAGGCGTGGCCACTAGCTGAACTCCATTTTGACTTTACCAGCCGGATGTAGTGGTTTGAATAAGAATGGTCTCCATATATTTAAATGCTTAATCACCAGAGAGTGTTTGAAAAGATTAGCAGGATGGGGTAGCCGTGGCCTTGTTGGAGGAAGTATGTTACTGGGGGTGGGCTTTGAGGTTTCAAAAATCCAGGCCAGGCCCAGGCTCTTTCCGGCTGCTGTCTACAGGTCAGAGCGTAGCTCTCAGCTCCCGCTCTACTGCCGTGCATTTGCCATCCGTGGTCCCGCCATACGCCCTGCTATGATGATAACAGACTAAGCTTCGGAAAGCGTAGGCAAGCCCATAACTACATGTTTTCTTTCTTAAAGATTGCTTTGGTCATGGCATCTCTTCACAGCAATAGCACACGGCCTAAAATGCCTGGACCCTGTTTTCCTCTCCCAAGCTCAGAGAGGGCAAGGGTCTGAGGAGAGATGTGAAAGCAGCCTCGGGAGACGGGAGCTGCAAACTGGGGTATGTTCACTCGTCGAGGATGCAGAACAGAGAGCGGTGTGATACCCAGGGCCCCATCCGACCGTGGAAGTTCTGCTCACACTGGTTTCGCTGTCTCTGCCTGGCCTTGTGTTGACACGCCATCTCCCTAAGTGCCTCTTAGGAGGCTGCTCTGACTGGATCCAGGTGACGAAGAAAGAGGCTCAGTAGCCTGGCTGGGGCCACACAGCTGAAGAGCTGTGGAACTGGGGTTCAAACCTAGGTCTCTGCTACAGTGCTTTTGGTTTTGTTAAGTCTGATTTTTTTGTTTTGTTTGATTATTTTGTGACAGGATTTCTCTGTGTAGCTCTAACTGTCCTAAAACTTACTCTGTAGACCAGGCTGGCCTCGAACTCACAGAGCTCCACCTACCTCTGCCTCCCGAGGGCCAGGGGTGGGTGCCACTCCTACTGGCTGCTTTTTCTCTCTCTCATTTTCTTTTCAGTTTTACGCTGCCTTTGGTATCTGGGAGCCACTCACCAGACTGCACTAAGCAAGCATCTACAGTATAGCCCCAGAGCAGGGTCAGTATGGACCAGGAAGACCCATTCCTTTTCCAAGAAGCAGTGGGGCAGCATTAGCCCAGTCCTGCACTGGAGGGACTGGAAGGAATCTAAGGACTAAGGGATTGGAAGGAGAGAAGCGTGGTCTGGCAGTGCAGGTCAAGCCTAGACCAAAGCCTCACTCTGGAGGAGGGAAGGTACTAGGGTCTGTGGTCAGGGCTC